TCTCCTAGTGCTGGTCGTCTGCCCCCCCCCCCCCCCCCGAAACACTAACGCAGGAGACCCCATCAGCCTTGCAACCGATGACGACCAAAGTAGCTATGCCATCAGTGCGTTGATACGACGGGCGACAAAGAATCATGCCAACAACAACAAAAGATTTCGTAGGTATCCATAGTGTGCACGACGTTTATGGTCCAAATTGTGTTTATAGTCGAGAGCGAGGCAGATCGAATAGGAGAACGCATGTCATTCATTGAGCTGTTTTCGCCCACTGATAGCGCCGCTGCTCATGAGACTTACTACAACAGTTCTCAGAATGAGAGCCAAAAATTAAAATGTCCAGCACACGTTTGGGGTGATATTTTTTAAAGGCAAGCTAAAGCAATAATCAACACAAACGTGGAATCGTTCAATTACACAATAAATTTAACTACGAAGCAGTATTTCATATTACTATTTCTTTCCACCACCGACTATCAATGAACATTTAGTACGCCTATGCTTTTTTGAGACGGCGTCTACCCCCTTCGTTAGGTAGCTGATTTGATAAGGTTAACGTATAGCACTTGATTATTCGTTAGCGTTTTCACTTAACATGTCTTTAATACTACTACTTCAAATGATATCTCATGATCTCTAACTGATTACGAGCATTTAAGTTTTCGTAACTTCTATAAGGGGACGTTAGGACACCAAAATACATCCTGTGCAGACTAAAGGCGAGGTTATATCTTGTGTAATTACAACAAAATGTGTTCTCGTATTGTCTAACCTTTGTTTTTGTCGCGTGATGTGTGTTATACACAATTTCAAACGATTCGAGACTCTCTATAACTAAGCTTGTATCGTTCCGCCGAGTTTCTCTTGGTAAATTTATTTTTTCTCGAACGTACTGTTGATTTTCCGGTGACGGAACGTCAAGTACTCGACGGTGAACGCGCCATGGAATCAGCAACGGGGTCATCGTTATATATACACATATGTGTACAAGAGGGGTAAAACCATTTGACAAGAACGTTTTCTTCTGGACGCCTTCAAACCTACCTGCAGCCTTTTCGCGAGGTTTACCCCCCACAGTCGTCGGTGTTTGCTGACGGTAAGTAATAATTCTAAGTTGTTACTTTTCCGAGAAAATGCATTGTTATCAACAGATGTCGTGTTGTATCGCTGGGGTTGCCATCGCTTCGTTTGACCAGTTCGCCAACGAAGTAATCGACAGGATAATGACTACGCGCCAAAATTAGCATATGGTCAAAATACACACGTATGTCTTTGTCATCATTTTTTATCTTGCCTCATGCCACCATTGTATTAGGTAAAAATACTGATTAATGTTATACATAACAATTAGCATATCCTATACATATACCAGACCATGGCTATCGTTGGATAACGTATAGATAACCTTATCCATTGTTTTACAATGTAACTTAATAAAGCCTTATGCAATATGATTCAAAAAGTGCCCACTGGTTTGATAATAAAAAAAATTATCTATATATATATAATGTACGTCGTACAGGAGCACAGAGACAAGGAGCATTTGTCTTCGAATTGGAAAATCATCCAAGGACTAAAATAATTTGAAGGTTTTAGTGATTTTGGCCACAGCAGCGACGAAGGTGTAATACCCACCAAAAAAATTAGTATAATAGAAAGTGAAAAGATTGAAGTTAGCAACCGATGCGATGAAGGTTTGATAGTCACGCAGGTATATTTCTGGCTAATATAGTAAATCGATTCAAACGTCCGGTACGCCAAGATATCTGTTTTCGCTTGTCAGCATTGACAATATAGCGAATTGGCAGTTACCGTTAATTTTTATCGTCGCTTGTTACAAACGACGCGTTCGCCGTTACTTTGATTGAGTAATTACGGAATTATGATTGCGGCTAGCTGGCTCCCACGCGGCAGAGTTAGCTTGCAACGTAGTTATCTATTATCGGTATTTCACTTCCAAGTCTAACCAAAACCATAAATTCCCTTGGCGTTTCGTCGATGTCCACAGTCTCGCCACCCAGATGTTCGTAAGCGCTTTCTATTATCATTTTTTTCATCACTAGCATAATCGTTATCAAATAGGAACGCCTCCGTAAAACTACGTAAGCTTATGCTATTGAAGCGTGCCGTGGAACAGCCTTATGTTATCTTTCAATATAGCTGCTCAAGGAGAGAAGCTTCCGAGTCCTGCGAAACAACTCGCAGTGGCACGGTGCCTAAATATCCTCGATTTCGAAACTCCAGTCGTATCAGTCAACAAGATTTCAAATACCAATCGCTAAAATAGCGTTGATTTAGAGTCAGCAAATGATCATTGGCATGACGCTATGTAGCTATAGTGACGATGCGTCAGTAATGATAATGAGGTCGTTGCTTCGCTCAAGAGACGTTGCAAATTCTTTTCTGGGCAAAAAATGATCCTTCTCGAGGCCAACGTTTATAAACTACCACAATAACCATTATAGTAGTGTGTCTTTATGCTAGTCGCACTTTGTTAGTCACGATGGTGTTTTCGGTTGCGTACGAGGACAAGATGGCGGTGATCGTTGCAATTTTAGTCTACATAGTGAGGCTGTGAAGGTCGTTCGAAGCCTTGTTCTTTTGTCCCGGCTCGATCCCAGCTGAGCATGGAGTTTCTTGCTCTTCTTGTCATACAGAGACAATAGAGGTGAGCACAAAAACAGAAACACGTAGCCGGCACAACGGGCTGCTCCATACAACCGCCAAATGCCTCACACCAAATACCTCGGGGAGACAGACGTAGCAGAAACAGTCCCAAGTGATAACAACAGAGCACCCGACCAAATGCCGTTCAGGCGACGTATATCCCCCTCACTTCGTTGAACGATTCAACGTACTCCTGTAACCGCATCGGCAGTTCTCTGCAAATCGACAGGCTGTCACATTAAGGGCACACGGACGCTCCTCGCATACAAAGGGACGCGTGCAAGATGAGAGAACAGAGCAGAACAGATCCCGGATTTAATCATTTTCATTGGCGTTCATCTGAGAAGAATGCACGTCCAGTATTGCTACAATGCAAACCACTGTCATCGGCAGTTTCTAATGAGATATTAGATCGACGATAATTTATTTTCTTTATTGTCAATGGAAATAAGTGGGTAGGGTCATTTCGCGCTTCTATGGTTCATGGCAGATAATGGTAGGTTACAATATGATATTTGCTGTGGGTTAGGGCGCCTTTAATCTTGAAAAATGTAAAAGTATCATACCATTTGTACGAATTCTACATTGATACAACGAATTATATACATTCGGCTTTTAGATGCTAGATCATACTAACCCTGTATATTAGGTTTGAACGGAAGCCCTTTCGCTTTTTCAAAAAAAAAAAGGCCTACTTTTCTCACATTTCCTTACTTGATGTTGGCTTTCAACGTACCCTTGAAAAGAACTATTTTTACTTGATCAGCATGTTTTAACGGCATTGTGCTATGAAGCTAATTTCAGCTCGAATGAATTCTTCAGAGGTGGACGTTCAAAATGGGAAGAAGCCCATTTTCGACACCGTACTAAGTATTTCGGTCGAACGAAAACAAGCCAGAACATTTTACTCGTATACGGTAACCATGCTATCACTAAAAAGGCTGTTCAAGAGCTGTTTGTCAAGTTCGGAAATAGTATCCGGGACAGAGACGTTTTGGCCGACCGTATGAGTTCATCGATGACCATCGGAAGACACTTGTGACACCGCCTCAAGTTCCCTGGATTTACATAAAGACTTGGCGCTTAGGTAGCTCAAGAATTCTCTGAATCCACCAAGGAACTATGGTTTGACGTGATATCACAACATCTCGTCCTGTATCAAGTGTGGCTCGGCTACAATAACCAATTTTTGCACAGTTATTATGAGCAGCAAATAGAAGTGGCATTCGTTAAAATTGGTAATTCCGGGAAAAAGCAAAGGCTTAGGGTCTTGTGGTTTTCGAGGGCTTGGTTCACTGAAAACGCTTTCTACGAACCAAAGAGTTGATCAACGCGTTTATTGTATCAAATCAACCAGGCTGTTCGCGAGTTAAATACTCGATAAGCGAGTTTAGATCATACTACTTCATGACAACGTGAAGCCACACACGGTAAACATTATCAAAGCTGCCTTCTTAAATTTCGCGTGAAAGGTATTATTATATCACGCTCCAACTTCTCTCAGCATTGTGCCGGCGGATTTTCACATTATATAATATGGATGATACATAATATAATGAAAATATCGTGCTTTCTATTCAATTTTCTCTACAACTTTATATATATATATAATCTTTTTTATTTCTGTATGTGCGTACGAATAGTAACTGTAGGCGTATCATCAAAAGAAATCAGCTCTTTATATAATACTGTGTTGTTCTACTCCTTCAGCTGCAAAAGAGGCAAAGAAGCTTACCAGTCGAACTACCGGCTGACGAACTATACATTATAGTCAGGATATAATGTGAGTTCCTAGTATTAATATAAATTTTCACTTGTGAAATTATTATCTGTCTTTATATTCCTACCTCGCCTTAGCACCAGCAGCATTATTTCCCTCGGAGGCATCGGTACAATTTCTTAGCATTCGGATAAAGTTAGCCATTTTCGAACACTATATGTATAGTGTACCATAGGCATCAAACACTCCAGCACCATCGTCATTTAGCAGATCTTGCCGTTTGTCTACCTACATATCCTCCTGTCTTTTATCCACAGCCTTATAGAAAAAGGATGACTACCAATACGTGAACGCAATAGTAGCGATGATCCTTTCTACTTCACAAAAGCCAAACGAGAAGGTCTTTAGTTGAGCAAGGCGAGCAGCACCTACCTTTTTGAGAATCCTAAAAATAACCCAATAACAGACGCTACCCATAAAACTAGTTTCTGCGAAAGAACGAGATGTTCGTCTTCGAAATTATGCGCTTCAGGTAATACAAGCACGCCACATAGAGGATTTAAGGGAGGTAGAGGTGGGTGTAGCGGGACTGAAGGAAATAACTGGCCTCTTGTTTTCAAGGATTATCTAATCCAACAACGAAAACACGAGAGAGAGGGCTGAGTCTCTTTCGCTGAAGCAACGCCCGTTCGTAATTTACTACGTTAGGACTAATAAATTCCCAACTAAGATCCCGGACACGGGTTACTGCACCGGTTGCTCTTCTGACCGTCAGATTTCATGGCAGCTTAATGCACTGCCGCTTACAGGCAGAAGCTCATGGGGATCTGCTACATCGAAATCCAGGCGAAAATGTTGGTAGTTCAAAACAAGCACGCGCTTATGCAAGTGTGTGTCCAGACGGTTTCGCGAAGGGAGCCTATATTAAACAAGGTTGATCAGAACGGTCTTAAATTTACACTTTTGAAATGTTTTATACATTAATTCTCTGTGAATCGGTATAATTACACATAAGTGTTATTTCTTGAATTTACAGGGCGTTTAGTTACATGAAGTCACTCCGACGTTGGCTGGTCGCGCCCGAGGAAAAGGTCAGTTCAGCCGCTGTACTAGATTTAACTGTGACAAAACATTCACACATGGTAATTATATTGTGAAAATTAGTTTTGAGGTGTTTATCTGCTAAACCTGTATTGAATCTATATACGGAGGAACGATACCCTTAACCATTGGGTAGAGCATGTAAAGGAAACCTATAATGTATTGATTTTGTGGATCATCTTAACGTAAGATATTAATCTAACTCAAAGATGAAAAGCGAGGCCGAAATATTACTTATGGGGCACTTTTCGTTTATTTCGCGCGAGTTGTTACTAGCCGAGCAGACATCAGATCTGCCTATTATAACCTATTCGACAAAAGAGGCGTATTTCATTTACTAAACATATCCACGGGTCTTCTACAAATCTTAATCAAATAAAGAAAAAAACGTCAAGTTTCTTTCAGATTACTATAGCCTAACGGTACGGCAAAAATCACTGACTTGCTAATCTACCTGTGGATTACAGAAGCGACCTAGCATGCTTATTAAATTACTGAAGGCAGAAAATAGCGCGCCTGTGCCAATCTGCCCTGTTCATATGAAAGGCTTACCACATTTAGATATATATATTATGATATTATAGAAATTATCTTTCGTAGAATGCTTTTTCACTTACTAAACGCCCCCTTATCCGCTGTTTGGTATCCTGATCAATATGGCAGATCAGCATATCCCTATTTCCATACTTCCTATAGCTTCTCGTGTTTATTCACAGACTGCTAAAGCTTTGAAGAGCACGAATGTAGAATATTTGTCAAATGTCAAAAAGTATCAAATTTGCCGACCGAATCAGCTCTTTTAGGTTGTGTGATTGCTTTATACCGCGTTATGTGCTCGCAGTTCTTGTACAGGTGAGCGTCTCAGACCCAACCCGTAAAAACAATAATGGCATCGTCAGCAGGATCCGAATCACTGATTCTAGCTGTGCGACTAACTCTGTACTTAGGCTGCACCGTAGTAATTGCCCTCTGGGCCTAATCAGCCAAAGCAGTCCTGTCTATTTACCTCACTACCAAATCCCTTGAAACCACCTCTTCTGCCTTTAGGACCAAAGTTATCCGAGGTTAATTCTATGTGTATCAGAGGGTTTAATGTAAACACGACAGGCTCATTTCCCCAGCGCGTTACACCATTACGCACGCTCTTTTGTAAAGTTATGAGACAAGATGAAAGCCTTCAGGTTTAGCAAAATCTGTTTTGTTGCTTTTAAATAACCGGGAAGATCAGGCATGTCGAAATGACGTTCTGCGTACTACAAACGGTACAAACGTGTAACTCTTTGGCAAATTACGACCCTGAAAAGATGCGATATCGCAGGCACACTAGTCCTAATTAACTTTGTCCTTGATTTATTTATTTATCGTTGCTATTTGTCAACCGTGTATTTTTGCCACCCTCAAGTAATAACATATTGGATCAAAGGTAACACTTGAGTGTTGATTTGTTAATACTGATTGTTATGTCTCATGCTTTTGTTTAAGTGCGGGGTAAAGGGAAATGCTCTCAGGTTTTATTTCTTACTTCTCATTATAACATGAAATTTACTACTTCTAACATTTCTGCAGACTAAATTGGGGCGATAATATAAATTCTGTGTTTAGAAGCAAGAACGCGCCAAATTTTAATAGTAGCAGTGCTAACAACATGTACTTCTACTCGGAGGTTTATGCGCCAATATTTACTTCCTTTTATTTTATTTATTTCTTGCCTTTGTTTGCGCTCGCAGTGCTAGACTCACTCTGTGCAGCAGTGCGATTATACTACATTTCTGCTATGCTATTGAATTTCTATTTGGGTTACCGAATGGATCCAAGTAACACCTCGAAATGCTATTATGTAACACCCATACAATCACTGACAGAATATAAAAACAGGCAAGCAGAATAAACTGTGATAAAAGTTGACAGTGTTTTGTTCCGGCAATACTCTCTAGATTTGTCAAAACAAGATTCGCCGGGCAGTCCCCTTTTGCGCCAGATGCGATGTCAGCGGAACCTAGTTTCCTATTTTGCTATCACTCAACCTCTATATCTGGCTGCCTACAACAATCAACTATCCACGCCGTTCGTGGTCACTATTCGTCAGGTATTGCTGTCGGGTTGTGACGCTTACCCATGATGATCGTAGTGGTGATGAGGAACCGCAGCCGTAGTTGAAATACGGTATAATAAGCCAGTGGCTAGCCTTCGATGCCACCGAAATGACAGATGGAGCGGCAGTTGCTCTCGCAGCAACTGTGCAATGGAAGTGTATGATAAAAAAAAAAATGCTTCGGCATTTCCATTACCGCTGTTCAGAAGCTCTAACTTTGGGGAAATTCTACCACCTTCCCGTGTCTCGTTGTCGTCGTTATTTTCGTCAGCTACCGTCCGCTCGTTCATACGTTCACTGTCGACCGTCGATCGGCAAGCAATTGGGCAAATATTCTAAAGGATAAACGTAGAATTCTGCCGGTGCTAGTGGAAGTTGGTTGAGGGGGGTTGCGATGGTGGGAACTGGCGGCTGAAGAGGTTGTGCTGCTTTCGCTGCTTCTCCTCCTTGTGGCAGTGGAGTATCGATGAGGTTTAGTGGAAATGAAAGAAACCTAAAGCGTTACCGAAATTCGTGAGATGGGAATAACATTGAAGAGTGAATGTCAGAATGGTCAGTTGATTTACTAGTTAGTTTCGACTTGATCTGTCGAGCTAATTTTCACATATGTGTCCGAAAGTCAGGCATCATCCCACCTATTGTCCATTGCTCGTTACGAATTCGACGTTAGACCACTATGGCGAAAGTTGTGGGACTGCCGTTCAACTTCTAAACATAATGCCAAATATTATAATTATTACTGTAACACAATGTTAAACAAAGCCCGAATTCGATCTCAGCAAACTAATGTCGCCTATAAAGTAATATATTACTCCTCCAAACGATAACTGTCTGATAACTTCTTATTCATTATTAGTAACGGCCTTGGTTTTATCGTACACCGAACGAATAAGCCTGTTATCGCACAAAAATTGAGCTTTTACTCTCTTTTTTTTCTAAACCCGCAATATCAGGGCGCTTTGCAATGCGTCTTCTGCATTAAACGATTCCGACGCTCGTTACTTGTATCTACTCTTAATAATTTTGCCCTCCTGACCGGCATACTGGGAACCATTCGTGACCACCAGAAACGATTAGCGGTTTGTTATCATTATTCGACGTCACTTACGAGCGACGATCTTTGCGTGAACGCAAGCACGCCATAGAATGAATATGGGAAGTTACTGAGCTTAGTAAAGGAAATGCCATTGGTAACAGAGAGAGACGAGAAGGGTAACGTAGCACTCTAGTAAAAATAGATATTTCACTATTTTAATTAACTAATTCTATCATCGTTGTTCAAGAACGTCGCGCTATAAACGGCGAGGTCGCTAACTCCCGTCCGCGTACTACTGTTAAGGTTCGATCGATGGCGAATAATCGCCAGTGTTCAGTATGCCAAATAAGCAGGCCTGTATATCGATGGGTGCCGGGACGACGAAGAGAGTCGACTAGAGGAACGTCCGAACAAAAGACGTCGCCACAATGCGACCGTAGCGGCAGCAATAACAGCCGTCCGGTCACAGATAATAAGGATACTATGCAAATGCACTGACATCTCATATGATAACAATCCCGGTCGGCAACCCCTTCATTCCCACTGATATACGGACATTCGGAGCAGCATCCTCTGTGGCCCTCTCGTACGCTTAAACACCCATCCGTCTTATCAGTGCCCTGGCTGCAAGCGCTAAGAATAGAGATTTATCCGTAAATCCCATACTAAACGCAGATCGGCGCGATATATTTTTCTCTGATTCGCTGCATCAGCCGGACACGATCTACATAATGTCGCTCTGTCATCTCTGTTCACCACAATTCGCCACTATCCAAGCACAGAGTACAAGTGAATTTGTTACAAAATTTATTATAGAGTCGTTATAAATCAATAGCGTAATGAGCGGTGACGTCAAGTTCAGCAGTGTTATGTATTCAATGCGGTGGCGATAGTGACGAGCATTTGATGTACAAGCGTATCATACGAGTCCTCTTAACATGATGAACTAGCCGTAAAAAACGGGATCGTTTTTAATTCAAAATGCAGGGGTGAGAGATCCATTGTGCAGGTCAACACATCGATACTATGAGAATATCACTATACGCTCACCATTCCGAATATGGCCTAATGATAAGATGGCGGCAAACTTATTTTCTGGAAAATGCTCGTAACCAACCATTCGAGCTCGTGAAAATCAGTAAAGGGTCGAAATTAGAGTTATTAATAGATTTCTAGCATATAGATCCTAGATTTGCTCAAATGATCCTTCTTTAAGGGCACTAAATGCAGTAAAAATGAGGTAGAAGTAGATTTCATTATAAAATACTCTGGCATGAGCTGTCTTGCATAAAACAAAATCGAATAGGTCTAGTTGCATTTGAGTTTCAGTTTTACTTACACAGCCTTCAACATGTGGGCATGTGTCTGTATCAGCGCTGATCAGGTTTTAGAATTAATGATTTTTGACGCTAGAAAAAAATAAAAATTAAAGGAGCTTGCTATTTTACACCAATCATGAATATACCTCATACTCGATGGATAATTTCATCGTACAGGCTTTTTCCTAACCAAGATGTTCAAAACTCATAATTCAGTCGCCGATTGGTTCTTCATAAAGGTCTATAAAAAGACGTCAAAATTCAAGCTCAATATCTGGTCGTTCGCCAAGTCTTCTACACCGCCAACTCTGTCTCATACTTCCACGTAGTCAACCGCAATCTACTACCAAAAACGTTCGCTTCGTTTAAAAGCGAACTTCAATAGAAAACTCTAGACTAATTGCTAAAACATCCTGGTCGACTAAGATAAAATCTGAGTCGGCCGACAAAAAACTGAAAATAGCTAAACTAAAAATAATTTGCAGATACTCTGAGTTGAAATGAATTTGCTGTTTCGCTAAAATAGGATAAATGCTCATTTAC